GAATTAATATATCTAGTGAATACCCGAGCGCCATTATCTCTTCTAAATACTGAGGTACCTTTGGAAGTTTTGCCTTCTTCCTCGCAGATGCCTCTAGATGTGGCGTTTACTAGGAGCTTTGTTGGGGCCCTTTCTCTAAAAGTTACCCAATGTCGATCTCCATCACGACTTCTCGTGGTGAGAAGAGAGGTTGATGATAATGGTGTGACGTTATCCTTCATCTCTTCGACAGAGCCCTCGTCATCATTTCGAGAAAACTATGACCGTCGCTTCCTCACTTAGTGATGGTCAATAATACCTCGCCCTCAAAAGAGTGATGATCCCGTGGTTCTGTAGACCCGGCTGAAGAATAAAACTTTCTACCTATCCATAGCAATAACCTAGAAACCCTGAATTATAATTCTCTTATTGAACTTGGTGGACTGACGATGCCTCTCTCATTTGGCGTCGGGAAAACAGTGAGACAACTTCCCAATCGAGTCTGGCGAAGAAAAAGAAAAGCGCTGTTACGGCGGAATCCTTCCTCCACGCTACCCAACCTTGATGATAAGCACTAGGAGCCCGGGTACCCGCCTCGGCCAACTAACGAGTGGCACACTCGGGAGACGTCAAAAAAAGGCCGTCCAGGTCACCCCATACAAACCGGCGAAGCTCGTTCGAAACACATCATCGACAACTTTGTTAATGAAATCGTCCCTTGATCCTGTGGAGTGAACTTTATACAAAAGCTTGTGAGCAAACCACTCTAGATCGTTCGATGCAGGCTCACGCACCATTGGAAATGGCGTCGCAGAAGGCCCATCAACCGGTTCAATCGGGGCCATCGCGTACGGATCCGGGCCCGGAAGAGTACCTCAACGATCCAAGATTCCACCAGTCCTTCACCTTACCCCCGGGCAATGACCGCCCGGATCCATTCAAAGTCACGTATTGCGACTACGGATATCGCAACCTGGACAACCCAGAGCGCGAGCATGTCCTGCTCTTATGTGGTCCCCTCCTGGGAAGGTAAGCCAATCATCTCACTCACAAACACCCCTCGCACATCACGGCACACCTCATCGGTCAAGGTCTGACGAACATACAGCCGCTACCTTCACATCGCCAAAGACGCCCTGGCAAAGAAACACAAGGTCCGCATAATCCACCCAGACAGACCAGGCTTCGGCGGCACAACCCACGTCGACGCGCCCGACCGCGTCCGCCTCTGGCTCGAAATCGTGCCCGCCCTCCTCGCGCACCTCTCCGTCCGCCACGTCTCGCTGGCCGCCCACAGCGGCGGCACAATCTACGCCCTCAACACGGTCCTCCACCTGCGTCACCTCCTCTCCCCCGACCGCCCCTACGTGGCCCTCGCCGCGCCGTGGGTTCATCAGTCCCGCTCGGGTGCCGCGCTCATGACGCTCGCGGGCGGGCTGCCGGAGACCGTGCTGGGCGGCTTCCACACGCTCGCCGGGTTCTCGCTGAAGCATGTTGCGCCGGTAGCGGGCGCGGTGAGTGGGGTTTTTCCTAGTATGCAGGCTGTGAGCGGGTTGCTGCCTGCGTCGATGCGAATGGGCTCTGCTGCCGATCCTACGCCTCCTCCTGCGGTGGAAGCGAACCCCATGGCAGAGTTTGAGGAGAAGATTTGGCCGCAGCTCATTCAAAAGGTGTATTCTGAAGATACGAGAGGGCTCAGCCAGGATGCCATTTTGCTGCTGAAGAGGGCGGGGCACTCGGATTACTGGGGCTCATGGAAGGACTATGACGAGCTCGTCACCCTGTTGGCGGAGGCTGAACACAATCTCGATGTTGGCGTCGTCAAGGGCGCTGCAAAGCTCAAGGTTGATGTATTTTGGGCGGAGGAGGACCAGATGATTGGTGTTGATAAGGGTCCCAAGTGGTTTGAGGATTGCTGGAGGGCTGAGCAGCGCCGTGACGTGATTGAGTTCTCTAGTTGTGTTGTTCCCGGGACTGATCACGATGGCATCATGGAGTTGAAGTTTGATGTGTTTGAGAGGATATTCCGTCAAGTTGGCGAAAACAGCGAGGAAGGGGATTCGGGCTTGCCATCTGCGGCATAGCACGAGACAGACTATACAATTAGAGGTAGAGAGATTTGCAACTTCACCACGAGGAGCACCTCTATTGTCGACATGTTTGCCGCGACGCTCATGTACATGGCAAACCTCGTAACACAGACTCTTGAATCTTTACCCTTGAATGGCCGAAGAAAAGAGAAAAAAACTCGAGCCGAGGCTTCCCCAAAACCTAGTACTCATCAACTCTATCCCCACACATGCCTGGATTTGGAAGAGACATCAGACGACGCAGAGCTGGTGGCAGACAGCCGAGAAGCCTTGGAAGTAGTCCAGAACTGGCCCTTCAAGTTCTCAGGGTGCCGTGAGGTAGCCGAGCCGTCTTCAACCTCGGCAGGATCATGAAAGGCGGCTCTGGGGAGTCTTCAGAAAAGCCTTTTGCAGTTACTTGAGCTCTATCGCGCTCAGAAGGATTGCCGTGATCTAGGGCCAGCCTTCAGAGCAGTCCTTTCCAGCTTTCCTTACTATAGTCAATCAACATGAATCCAAACGATTTTTGTGGAGTTCCGAATCGCGCTCTCTTGGTAATCGGCAAGCCGGAGAGAAGATTGATCATCGAGAACTAATTCGCTGTCCCCGGCCGTTGAGAACATGGTTGCAGTCCGGACAGGTTTACCGAGCTAAGCCATGACTCAAAGATTCGGCATCTCGTGACAACGCGCTAGAGAGAGTACACCGTATGGTTGAGCATCGTGCCAGGATAAAGCCCTGGAATATGTTGGGGTAAATCTTGCCGATGGTCTGCGTGCAACTTGTTGTGCCTTCACAGATCCCGGATATTGAATGAGTTAGAGCCCATGATAACAGCCTTTATGCAATTCAGCCCAAAATCTTCGATTATGAAAGATCAAGCATGAGTGCTGCAAAGTCCGGAAGACCGCGTCTCATAGGCCATCCATACACAATTACACCGGAGCTTTGAGAGACGTTGCAGTTGGGGACTCCGAGACAGTGCGTTCCCCGGGGTGCCGCCCAACGGGGGTGGAGCTGGAGAATGCTAAGCTTCGATGACAATTGTTAATGACCCCGCGGAGTCGTCGCCGGCGGCCCTATCAGACTCCATCAGGCCCCATGCGCCGAGGCCCAGTGGAGGATACGGGCCATGCCTAAAGCGGAAGCTTCCCCCAAGCTCCCCTCTCACCTCGACCCCGAACATCAAGCTCATGAAAGTCATCGAGCTTACTCTGACCTCAACTCACTCAACTCAACTCAATCCGTCCCGCCCTTCCTTCATACGCCACTTATCAAGCCATACTACACCCTAATTCACCCGCCACTTCAGACAAACCAAAGCAAGCAATCAAACCAAGAAACGAACCCAACTCACACCGTGTGTGACATCAAACACACTCCAAGAACCACCATAATGCCGCCAACTACGCTCACAACCCCCCTAACCCTCCAAATCCCCGCGGAACCCCTCACTCGCGCCGCCTTCGCCCCCTTCGGCGACGTGATTGAGAACCCTCACCCGGAAGTCCGCCCCGCCGCCTCCCTCCCCGCCACCGTATCCGCCTCCTTCAGCGCCGTCTCCGCAAACCAAGGCACAGCCATAAAGTACCAAAACGTCTCCTCCCCTCTGAACCTCTACCCGCAAGCTCCCTCCCGCGCCGGCCGCCCCATCGTGAGCATCTTCTCCTGCGCCGCACGGCAGCTCGAGCCCGCCGCTCCCCTGGCGCAACCGCCCATCTCGACGCTGCTGCCGTATACCTACGCCGGTCCCAGCAGGGGCGGCCGCTTCAGAGTGAGCGTGCTGGAACGACACCCTTTCACGACACAGACGTTTGTCCCCTTTTCTGCTTCTTCGTCCGTGAGCGGCGCGGCGTACCTCGTCATCGTGGCACCTACCCTCCCGACCCCCAGCGCGCAGACGGATTCCCTCCCGGCGCCGGCCACCGGCGGCAAAGGCCGGGGTCTCCCGGACATCAAGGGCCTCAAGGCCTTTGTGGCGTCCCCGGGCCAGGCCGTGACCTACGGTGCGGGAACGTGGCATGCGCCCATGGTTGCGCTGGGACCGCAGGGCACGGCAATTGACTTTGTCGTGACGCAGTTTGCGAGCGGCGTGGGCGTGGAAGATTGTCAGGAGGTAGAGTTTGCGGGCGCGGGCGAGGACGCGGGTATCGTGGTGCAGGTTCCTGAGAGGATGCCTGTTGTTGCGAAGTTGTGAGCGGAGCGGATGGCTGAGATATGCTTTTTGCCGCGGGAGGGCGGCAAGTCAATGGCGATGGGGAACACTTGATGATGGCGCTTGTGTGTACGATGTCTGTTCAGCAAGGGAAGGGAACCTAGCCCGAGTCTGCCTCGGCATGTTGAAAGAGTGCAAGGCGGCGCCTCTGTGACTGGGCAAAGGGGCGGTTAAACCAGCTAGAAATGCTATCAAATTGGCCACGATTTCCCGTAGAGGCGGAAGGTCACGAGGGTATGAAACTTTACACAGTCGCCAAGCCATGCCGGGCAACTATTGCTGCTTGGCTCTCTCCATCACGCCCTCGATAGGCGATTGAGAATTACGTGGAACGTCGTTTTGGTGATCAAATGATCTTTAGATATTTTCTGTGCTACCTTGTCAAACTCGAGCCCTGCAAACAAACCAGATTCGTTCCCATCGTTCGATATCCGCCTCCCACCTTCGGCCGGTCCAAACGTGATGTACTCAAACAGCATTAAGAATCCCCTCCGAAAACAAGTTGCCAAACTTCCCTCTCCAGACCTCCCGTACCAAACCCCCCATTCCAAACCTCTCATTCCAAACCTCTCATTCCAAACCTCTCATTCCAAACCTCTCATTCCAGGTCTCCCTCTCCCAAACCTCCCGAACTGAGCGAACTCGGAAGTCATCGCCCTTGCCGAAACTTTGGCAAAGTGAATGAGACATTTTCATCAGACTCTTGCACTCGATGCGCCGCCATCCTGGGTTGCCATTCACTTCTCGTACTCCTCGAATTCCACGGAGCGCAGAAGCTTCTCAATCGATGCGGTCTCCAAGTATGGACGGAAATACAGAGGGAATCTCGGGTCCTTCTCTCCGTCCTCAGTGACCGGGATAGCAATGCGTCCTTCCTCACCGAAGTGGCGGATGCGGTTACCATGACGCTTGTTGAAGATATCAAATTCAAGCGTAGCCGGGGTGATGAAGTGATAGATGAAGACGGGACGCTTCTGTCCATATCGAATGAGACGTCCCTTGGCCTGTCTCATGTACATGTCGTAGCTGTCCGAGTCTGTATACAGAACTCCAGCAAACATGAGATGGTTCGCCTCGGTCAAATTTGTGCCAGCGGACTCCGAAGACATGAGACTCTGGATCAGAACGGCCTTTCCATGGTGCGCTTTGAATGCCTCAATCTGATTCGAGTCCTCATCGCCTCCGTCGGTCATGTAAACGCTAAAGCCGTTGTCGCTGCGAATGAGGTGGTCGTAGACCTCTTTCTTGATGCCCGCGTACGCAGCAAAGATCAGGACCTTCTCGTCATCAAGGACATTGTTGAACATGACGTTCTCCATGTCGGATACCTTGGCACTGGGAACGGCCGAAAGATCGTGCTGCAGGTTGGCGGGCGTGGCAAATATCTCGCTAGGAACAAATGATCCACGACTGAATGCCTTGCAGCTTTGCATGGGGCACATTTGACCACCAGCCTCAGTGAAAGCACCAAAGCAGTACTTGCAAAGCGAGTGACCGCATGCAATAGAATGGAACATGTCAGAATCGGCAGTAACGCGATCACAGACGTTGCAGGTGGTGGACAGCGGGCTATGGCTTTCATGAAGAACATGGTTCAACTTCATCAGAAACATGCAGCGCCGCCATGCCTCCGTCGTGAGCTTGATGCCAGCCTGGACGCTTTGCACAACCAAGATGAAACTGTTCAAAGTCTCGTCAATGGCCTGTCCACGGGGTTTAATCGTCTTGCCCTTCTGTGGTCGGTGAGCTGGAATCTGAATGCCGAATTCATAGTTGTCTTTGGTGGCTTTTCCATCGAAATGCTTTTGAAGCTGAGCCGTCATGTCGCCGGTGTCCTTCAGTCCAATAGCCAAAGCCATCTCCTCGCGTTTATCCTGGCTGTCCTGCTCTTGGCGAATGAGGTCGATGAGAGCCTCTCGGTCATCGCTCTGGTCACCACCAGAGCCGACCCACCGGTTCTGCAAGCTGTCCAACTCACCATCGGACAAGTCGTGATCCGAGTCGAGAAGCCACCAATGGGCAGAATTGTAAGTTCCAGGGCCACCCATCCACTCGGACCATAAGTTGCAGTCCCAATAGTTCTCTCGAGTAGGAATGTAATCTGGGCGGATCGAGTTTCGGTAGACGATCGCATCATGGAGATAGTTGATGAACGCACTATCATCAGAGTCGCCGTTGGTGTTCCTCATGAAATCGAAAATCTCCTCCATATGACCAAAGTAGGCATCTTTTTTAGCTTTTCCACTGCCTGTATCAGCATCGTTGCAGACCATATTCGCCAGGTACATCATTTTGTCGAAGAGAGATACCAGAATCCGGGTGCAACGGGCAAGGTGATCACCAGCTGCAGCAGACGCTTTGTTGCCGAGACGCTCCAGAGTCAGCTTCGCGTTGGGTTCTGTCCACCCCATGCCCTCGAATCCCTTTCGGCCGGAAGAAACGGACAACGAAGACAAGAGAACTAACGCGTCGACTGCATCCGACCAGATAGATTTTCCGGTAGCCTTGGCCTTTGAACCGGCCCTCTGGGTCACTTCTTCGTTCAAGATGGTGCGAAGGAAAGTATCAAGACCACAGGGCATGCCATCGACGTCCCACTTTGCATCATGAAGAACCTGTTGTACAAGATTGTATACCAAGGCTTCTTGAGTGTTCATGGGAGTGAAGCAGGCGGCCTCGGTTATTTCCACTCCTGGAACCTCCATCTTGTTCTTCCGCAAGTAGTGAAGAAGGAATTGCTGTCCCTGATCATGGCGATCGGCCGCGAGCTGGGCGGACAAGGGCTCTGTGTAGCTGCGGAATGTTTCGGCGTCAGTCAGTTCGGATACCTTGGGCCCAGTCGTGGCATTGGGGAAGAATCCCGGCATTGATGGCGTCGGTCGCGCAACATGAACATTGAGCAACGCTCCAGTCTCGCAGATCTGACCGAGGTTGATGGTAGGCGGTGTACCTGAGAGGATCCATTTCGAGGACGCGACAGCGTTCTGGAAGAAGGTTGCAACGGATGTGTTCTCATACGAGAACTCATCAAAGACCACGCGGCGGTAAGTGTACATTTCAAGTACCTCGCCGTTCTGGAAGGCCTCCTTCACATCAATGGTGACGGCCGTCTTGGGCTTTGCTGCCTTGCCCTTCTTCTTTTTGGGTGTCGCCTTGGCGGTTTGCTGCGTCTTCCGATCGCTAGCTCCCACTATGTCGGCTGCGGCTTTGCGGACCCAATCATTGCTGATGGTGCGGCGGCCTTGGATTCTCGCCTCGACATGAGCATTGTTCGGGTTGTCAGGGTTGCTGTGGTCATAGGCGGCATGCTTGATGGTTTCAACCACTTCGTAATGCCAGTCCTGGGAGTCTCGGTTCGATCTCTTCTGACGGATCGATGGCATTTGGGCGATTGCAGCGAGCTTGTCAATGTTTTTCTCGGAAGACATCAGAGTGCTGCTGACAATGATGATGTCTGCTGCTTCCATGCTCTCCCGTGAGATATCAGTCGTTTTGGTGAGCACCAGGACTCTGAGCTGACGAACAAATCTCTTAGCTTCTTTGGCCCATTGCGACACAATATGGGGTGGCACGATGACCAAAGTGGCCTTGATGTGAATGAACGCCGTGGTTCCCAACCACTTGGAACGCTCTAGAATAGAAAACTCTGCATGCGATGGAGTCGTTGTATGATCAACAAGACCAAGTGTAACTATAGTCTTGCCGTAGCCGATGTCGTGTGCAAGGACACCTCCTCGGGCATAATTCTCAAGCTCGGCAACAGCACTTAAGCGCACGTTCACAGATGGAAGAACACGCTCCTCGAATTCCCTTTCAGTGAACGGTTCGTCTTGTTCGCGGTGCAGCATCCACTGACAAGCCTCGACTTGATCTTGTCGAAGCATCATTCCATTCTGCAGAAACCGGGGCGTCCGGAAGACGCCCTGAGGAGGATAGGGATCTGCCTGAACGGCGACCATGCTGTCCTTGAAGGGGGGCAATCCCTTCAGGCTGGGCTCGTGATAGCTCGTTTCCACACGGAAATTGCCACTTCCGCGAGTTGAGCGAACCATGGGCGACATGATGTCCTTGTCGACCGGGAAGTAACCATGCGCCCGGTGCGCCAGCGACGCTGGGTTTAGCAGAATTCTCATGCTCAGCACATTGTATTCGTCAGCTTCACTCAGCTCCAGTCGGGCCTGGATCTCGAGAGGAGCTGGTCGTCGCAACATAGCCTGCTCCGCTTGAGTCGCCACTGCCTCGTTCTCGATTCGTACAACGCTGCCATCCGCATCCCAGTGATGAAGAGCCTTTGGAGCGGTCGGCGAGCATTTGTAGCACGCATCACCAGAATCCAGCACGATGTCGCTAACTGTAAGAAGTCCAGCACATACTGAGGCCGGCAACTTGTTGATGGCAGAAGACGCCAGTGCCAATGCATCCTTGATATCGTTCTGGGCAATCGTGAACCAGATATCGGACGAAGCTGCCATGCTGTTTGTACCAGAAGGGGGAGTCAACTGGGTGAGGAGCGACTTGACTGGAAAGTGCATGTCGGTCTTGTCCATTTTGATCATGATGGACGGGATCGAAGATTGACAGTCGATGTTCATGATAGCCTGCTCCTGCAAATCTTTGAGACCAACATGTAGGGCTGGATCACGCTCGTGGACGGTGATACCCAGGGCTGACGGCAGAGACGTGTACACGCCAGGCAACACGGCCGACAGTATAGAGCCCGGAGGCTGTCCTTCTTGGTGCTTGAACCCTTTGGGGAAAACGCAGATGATATCTCGCACTTGATCCGGCTCAAGCTTTCTAGGGTTCTTCGTCAAGACCCATCGGTCGGTTTCGGCAGCTCCGTTGCAATTCGTCTGGAGCATCATGTAGACGGGGCTGAGAGGATCGTGCTTGGTGAAGAGGAGCCCCAATGGGGTTGCGCACTTATCTGTAAAGTGGTAGTCCCCGTTGATGACATTCGTGATTTCGTTCACTAAATAGGGTGCAAGGCCGTTGACTTCAATAAGCTTCTGGGTGAAACCGTTCATCCTCCCATCGTTGGCGCGTTCTTGAACCAGATCCACGTTGATTTTGCATTGGACAAACAGCTTCTAGCTGTCTGCCATAGGAGTGAAATCCGCGTCATGGTCGGTGAGTACTGCTTTTAAGAGAGGCTGGCGAAGGTCGTAACCTAGAGCAGTCAATTGAATTGCCACTTCGCTGGCTGAGGTATCGTTCCGAAACGATGGGCGCCCGAATTCGATATAGACGGGTCTCAGATGCATGCTCCACGTAACGTCCTTTCCGGTGATGACAACGACGATGATTGACTTTTCGGATTCGTAAGTCACAGTCAGGTCGTCTCTGAACTTGAGGTCCGTCTGGTAGTAATGAACTCCGCCTGCGCACGTCTGGATTGCGCGATGTAAAGCCTCGAGGTGATCGCTGAAGATCTGCTTGTCGAGTTCGTGGAGAATATCGACACTGTGAGCGGTATCGGTACCTGCCCAATCGATGTAGAGATGAGCTGGCAAAGCAGCAATCGCAAGCTCTTGAGCCAAACTTCTGCCGATTGACACCTCGTCGTCGATGGGGTTAGCCCTATCAAAGTTGTGATCCGGATTTCCAGCACAGCTTTGGCAGCGCGTCTCATTGCAGTCCTTGCATCGCAGATAAACACCGGTATGTTGATGCTTGCGGAAGGCGTCGCAGCGACATTTCCGGCATCCATTGAGACAGAGAGTGCAGAAAAACTCGACTGATCTATTGCCGTCCCAGCCGGAGGAGACGATCTCCTGCCAAGCCATCTTGTTGGGAGTAGTTTGCGAGGCAGAAAATGATCGATCGATTTCTTTTCCTTTTCTGCTGGAAGATGTGTGGGTTTTGCGTCCAAGAGAGGAGGGGTCTAGGGTAAGGAAAGAATCCAACAAATTGGAAGGTCCGGCCTCGTCAGTCGAGGTCTGATGAACGACGCTGCTAGGCAGCAGCGGGGTGGCTTGAGCGAGGCCCTGCAAGTGCCTGTTGCTTGCCTTCGTCTTGAACCTGGACTCGGCAATGAGTGCACAGAGGATAGCTGCACCGGCCACGGTGGTCGTCATGGCGTTTCCGGCAAGGTCCTTGAGCTGGTTTTCCCCCTCGACCGAAAGCGAGATGCGGTCAACGGGAATGCCCTGCACAGCCAGACACTCGAGTCCGAGGAGAGGACGGCCGTCGTACGAGATGAAGAGATCAGCTGAGGGAAGAACACAGGGAATTACCCCCAGCCTTCCGCTCTGTCGATCCACGTTCTGTCCGACGTCAAGAATGAACATTTTGTGGGTGAAGTCGTACCCCTTCTTCTGTGCTCTCAGGTACTCGATGTCGAGGAGATCCTGCATTCGCCAAGTATAGACTGAGATGACGCCCTGCCAGGTGTCCTCGCGGGGCTGAACGTTGCCTCTGTCATCCATCCGAGTATACGGGTTCGACGTGCCGAGCTCTTCCTTTCGACGTGCCGACCTATGATCGGCAGCACAATGAACAGCCTCGACGTCCCTCTTCGGCTTCGAGAGCAGCGTTCGTTCCAACTGGAATCGAGTCTGAAGCACACGCGGATCAGACGGGGGAAGCAAGAACTTCTGGAGGTCAGGCGGATTCTTGAACCATTGCGTGATATCCATGAGTTTGACCCATGTGTTGACGATCTCCTTGGCCTTGTTTCCATAGTAGCGAGCATCCACTCCGAGCAGATATTTCCTCTGCCTCGTTTGAGGGACCAAGAAGTTCTTGGAGTCGACCTGGACATACCCCGCCACGTATCCGATGCTTGGCAGCCAGAAGTCCCTGAATTGGTCCCACGGAGCTCTTGTAACGTTCTCCAAGATGACGATTTTGGGCCGATGTGCGTTGGTGTACATGAGAATGGACAGGAAAGTTTTGGTTGACTCTCCCTTCTCATCTTTGATGCTCTCGAAGATTTGTTGAAGGCCATCGACAACTTGACTGGCCATCGGGTCGTCCTGTTGAATGGCTGAGATGCCCCTGCCCTTGAATCGCTCGAAAAGCTTGTTGAGACCAGACTTCTTCTTCTTATCGTTCTTGGCGTAGTTTAGGCTCGAAAAGTCGACGCAAGAGCTTCCAGCAATGAGAATGTCGATTCCAAGAGGGATATCGGCCATGGCTCCGGAAGCCGTCATACTACATTACTGTCAGTACATGAGAGAACGCTGGTGAGGGCTGAAGAACTTACGCCTGAGTAGCTCCGGGCATGCCAACGTCGACGACATTGCGAAAGATCGGGCCTGAAGGAGCTGCATTGCGACGAATGAAGGCTTGCTTGAACGGTTCGATCTCAACGCTGAAGACATGATTGTACTGAAGGAGTCCCGGATAGCCGCAGGCGGTGGCCGCTTCAACGAACTCGCGTAGAGCCAGGATGGGACCATCCGTGCCGGAGCACATGGTCGCAATCCTGAACGACACGCCGCCGGCATCGAGGAGCTTTTTCAGACCGAGCTTCAATGCCTTGTCGAAGATGATTGGAAAGGCGTCGCGCGGGCGGTTCACAGATCGCTCATCCATGACCAGAACAGGCACTGCTTGATCCATGGTAGGCTGAGGTGTGGAATCTGCTCCGGGTTCTGAATTCGCTGAAGTGGACTGAGATCCAGAAGGTGAATGGGTTGTAAAATTGAGTCCAGGTGCAGAAGCTGCGCGACCCGAAATCACGTGAGTATGAGAACCCACGCGAGGCGAATACACCGACCGATATGCAGAACCCGACGGAGACTCAGCAGTCAAGCGAGAAGCCTTGGGGGCAAGGCTATCATATAGTCCCTGCGAGGTGGAGCCACCATGTTGGCCACCATAGTAATCTTCGACTGGAGGTCCGACTGGAACATAGGATGGAGAGCCTTGGTTGAAGCCTTGACTGTGCATCAAGTCCTGATTTTGTTGAACCATAGGGTCGTCATGGCGATCGTTATCCTGGCCGAAGGTCTGCTCAGATGGTATCAGGGGTACAATCTGTTGGCGCGTCCACTGATCCCCATTATCGTCGATGTACCTGTAAGTCGCGATGAGTTGGCCATTACTGTCGTAGTCTTGGCTGTTAAGAAACCATAACCGGCCCTCGTCATCAGTGTAAAATTGCTCCATGGCGGCGTGGCCATTGCCGGGCCCATAGGCGAGGTCATTGCTGTTATTCTTGGCCTGTTCAGTTTCTGGGAGGACTGTCGGGCCCAAGCCCTGGTCGGCCGAACCGTTTGGAGAAGCGAGGGGAGGCAAAATCCCCTCGAAACTCGTGTGGAAGTCGATACTCTGCTCCGCGCCTGTGAAAGCAAATGAGCTAGGGTACCTAAGGTGAGCGTCAAGATCATCGAGGTCAGGGAGATCTTCGAGAAAACCACCGACAACCTGGCGGTTCCCGTGTTGTGGATGTTCATCCTTAGGCCATCCTTCGTCGGGATTGGCGCCAAGAATATTCGCGGGATCGGGATCCGGGAGAGGATTTCCCTGCTCATCTTGGCCAAAGGGGAAATCCATACTTGCGAAAGAGCAATGAGCTGACAACAGAGACGTCTGCCACAGGAGGTTTTTTCGAGGTGGTCAAAGAAAAAAGGGGAAGTCTGGGTAGAGCGGTCAAGTGAGGTATGTACCAACGACGAGATACAGCCAAAACACCCCCAAAATCAGCAGAGTTTGATGATCTCTGAGGGCTTCTGATGATGTTGATGATGAAACAAAAGGAAGAAGAACTTGGTCTGGTTTGGTGTGTGGCAGAAGCTGGCAAAGCGATGAAGCTCAGTAAGAGTGATGAGAGTGTTAAGAAGAGGGAAGAAGAGAGGTAAATGGAAAGTGGAAAAGTTTGGGGGGGTTTTCCAGGCTCAAGGTGGATGGAAGAATCTTTGTGGGAGGTCCCACGAAAAGTCATGTGCTCCCGCCTTCAGAGCGGAGAAGAGGGTTAGACTCAAGAAGGCGGGTGCCCTCGACGTTTGAAGCTATTCGGGGCGAGAGCTATCCCCTGAGGACGTCTTACAAGGCGGGTGCCCCTGAGGAGGGAGATGGGAACATTGTGTGAGAGGCCCCGCAAAAGGGCATTGAGAGTTGGTCTCTTCTCGTGATGAGAGGAACTTGCGTGACAAGGCGGGAGCTCCCCGTCTTGATGGCTCTTTATGGCGAGAGCTATCACTTGATGGTTTCCTAACGAAGCCATGGCCTTTCAAGAGGAGCCCCTTGGTCATCTGTCCGTAACATTCTAGAGACAGGGCGTAACTTTGAGTAAAGGACTATGAGCTCTGTCTCAAAGAAGAAGAGTCTTCTGCTCAAGAGGTGTGGGCAATTGATTATCTATGTATATCTTGCTGAGTATCACCAGAATGGATGTGGCGAGAGACAGGACACTGAGAATGATTCAAAATCGACGTCAAGTTCAGATAGACTGTGCTTAACCTTGGCAAGATATCCTTGCTCAGCAAAGACACTCTTGAGTCTTTGCAGTCTAGGCGAGTGCCCCTGAAAGGAAAATAAGTCGGTGCCTTTCAGCCAGGTCTTTCTCTACAACCTTTGGCCTGTCATAGATATGTGATGTACTCTCAAGGCGAGAACTACTCGCAGAGACTTTCTGCTTGACAACCTGACAACGTTGAAGGGCAGAAAAAGAAGAAGAAGTTAAGAGGCTACTCTCTACACAGAATGAATATTCTCGTTGTTGAAAGTGCGGTGACCAGAACTAAGACTGATGATATTGTTTTCAATACATGTCTGCAGGATTTTGTTGGTTCCGGTAGTCAGCGCATCTAAGGATGGGGCCACTCAACATCTTCAGAGCAAAGTATTGATCATCATCTGAGCACTATTGAAGCTAATGAGGACGGATTCTCTCAAGAGGAGCTAGCATAGGGTGGTTGGGAGACTGAGACACTCGCTGAAGTGTCTCATCAGGGGGCAAGAGATTATCATCTTGGAAAGGCTCTTCCGAAACGGCAGGTCTTATATTTGCATGATATGCCCGACCTTCTCCTTGAGAGGACTACATCAATCCAAGACTTGGAGCTCACCAGATGACAGGAACAAGGTAGAAATGGGTGGTTCGACATTGATGTTTGATTTGTACATTCCATCAGATGTTGGTAACGATGCGTGAGTAAACGAAAAGGATCACTTCGACCAGCAGGCCGATGGCAAGAGAAAGCTACGAGTATAGAGCCATATTGTATGCCACTTGCAAACGTAAGTAAACTGACCTATGTCGGCTCATGCTATATCCAGCTTTGAGACTGCTTATCATAGTAGCCATACTAATGGCCATGCGGAAAGAGTCACGGAAGGGAGACTGACTTCTTCCACAATAGCTGGGAAGACAAGAAACGACATTAGACACGGCGATAGTGCTTTGTAGAATTATCTAGCTGGAAACGATAACACGTCTATCCAGCAAGGAAACGAGTGATGTCTCGTGGGAACAGCCATGCAGCAAGACATACATCTAATGAAGGAGACAGATGAGAAAATGGGGGAAAGAGGCGTGCGAGTGATGATGACTTCGTTCTGCACCAAAGTCGACTCGCATGTCCGTAATCCGGGCATGCCTAAGAAACGAACAGGAGTCATATTTCGTAACTTCTAGTCGCTAAATTGGAAGGTAAAAGTAGAACAGAGAGAAGTGTATACATACACACTTGGAGTTCGGTCATCCAAGTCTTCGAATTTCGAAGGTCCGATACCATTCTCCTAGACTACTGCGCGTGTGGAAAAGCGTCCAAAACACTAGAGCTGCGGCCTGCAATGTTCTGCAGCAGTGATTGAGCACTTGCCCCGGCATGAATTATTATGATTTAGGCAAACGTGCAATCACGACTTGATTGTGAGAAGGTAATAACATGCTTCATGGTAAACTCGTCTGCAATTCAGAGGCCTGAAGTCAAAACAAGAGCAGCCCCAGGGGCAACAGTATACCCGATTGGCCATGGCACCACGGGAGGATTCCATGTCATGTGACCCCGCGCAGAGCGTGTATAGCTTAGTCATTAAAAGCAATCTCCGCCGGTGACCGACGGCACCCATCCGTCTCCCTGTCCGTAATTGGTTCGCGGCCGAGGTGCAGCTGAAGGGCGTATTGATTGGCGGTGACGGCGACCTCACTCTGAAGCTATCCAGGTTCGTCAACAGCTTTAGTCCTTGTTTGACTCACCGGGACTCAATACGAAGTCCAGCCTTGGCGCTTGACGTATTCCGCTCGCGTCCACTTTCCGTTCTCGCTCCGGTTCTCGTCTAAGCCTCGTTCCTCAGAGTACCTATATTCTCGTGTCTTTGTCTAGTATCTGCTCGGGACTTGAGGAAATATTCAAGTGACACTACACTCCACAAAGACATTTTCTTCTCAGACTTTCGCCATGGGCTCTGAACTCATCTCAACCGATGCCAAGAACAAATTGGAAGATTTGTCTGGCATCACGATCCTGCCCGGTCAAAATCCATATGAAGCCTTCATTAAAGCTTGCAATGATAACCCAGTAAAGTCCAACATCCAATGCAAGCCTGCCAAAAGAAGCCTCCAAATCTGATGAGTGACAATTACATAGGCGGAGATCCAGGCTCTCTACCAAGCCCACAGAACGAAGAGAAATGAGCAGCAGAGGCAAAAGTTCATTGCTCCCGACTTCAAGGAGCTCATCATTGACCCTTTTCTTCTGAGATTGGAAAACCCGGAGATGGAACCGGGTTTCCAGGACCCTCGTAACTGCTTGGTCTTTTGGGCCCGGCCGCCAGATCACATTGTGCAACTCTCGGCTTATCTGCAGTCTTTGCTTAAGAAAGCGGCACCGAGTGAGACCCCTAAACAGTGCAACTATGAAGAGCCATCAGAGACCCCCTTGACTAACACAGGAACCTTCAAAAGGTATCTGGCTCATGCCCCAACACCGAATGCACCTTACAACTCTCGAGGTGACGCACTCCAAGACGCCCGAAGAGATCATCACTCTCACGGATAACATGCGCTCGGCGATCCCCTACATCACGGACTACACCTACTCTCACAGGTCCCGTCTCGTAAGACCCATGATCTCCTACGACCTCTCCGCCTTCGCCGTCTCCTTTCTCCCGGCCTCTGGCGAGCCGCCCCTGAGCCGGCGCCCGGCGCCGACCGCCCAGCAACAGGCCATCGTGCAGGGGGACGATTACTCATACCACCACCTTCGCCGCGACATCTTCACCCTCGCGCAGTCGACGGGCGTGCAGATTGAGTCGAGGTACCAGGTGCCGAGCGCGCACATCACGCTTGGTCGGTACCTTACGGAGAAGGACCACGATACGCCCGAGGCGAGGCAGAAGTGGGTTGAGGCCATTGACGAGATCAACGCGTGGCTTGAGAAGGAGGTCTGGGACCGTCCGGGTGCCGAATGGATTGGAGAGTGGGTTGTTGGGCAGGAAAGGGGGTTGGATGCTCGTAATGGGCAGCTGTGGTACGGAGGCGGGAGGACGATCAAGCTAGGGGAGGGCTTCTGAGACGGAAACCTGGCTGGGCGCCTCGGCGCCTGGGCGTGTTGCAGAAACGAACTCAAGCTCTAGATGAGGGATAGACGGAATGGCAGAGATGACGCGGCGGATCTGATTCACATTGGACAAATAAATGGGATGGGAGTTGAACATGATAACGTTATTTCGTGACTCAGTTATGTGATTGACCGGTTGAGCCTCATAAAAGGCATCTATCTTCTAGCGACCACAGATTCGGGAGCCTGGGCATGTCTCAACAGGGACAAGTTCATCCCACCTCGAGTGTGATCACCACCCTCAGGACAAACCGTTTGTCGAGTTCCCACGCATCCCGCATTTTCTCTTGTCACTTTTTTTTTTTTCGGTTGTGTGGTCTCTCTAAGCGCGCGACAGCAGGTGAGGGATGAGGAGGGGAGGGAAGCTGGATGAATTGCTTTTGGTATCCGTTCGCAAGCAAGGGCTTTTATTTGTTCCCTATGTAGAGTTCCTCAAATGAGAACTGGTAACCCTCTTCGCCGCCATTGTTCCAGCCTGATGATGATCCGTGTGCCGTGAAAGGAGCCATAAAAGTCGGTCGACCGAAAACACAATGCGTTTAGAAAACGAGGGCAGCACCCTTGGTCTTCTTGTCACCACTACGAGGGTTGTCAGTACATGATTAGAGGTCGCGTCCATTAGATAGGGGATGATATCATACCCCAACTCGAAGTGCTTGCAGCGCTTCAGGGCGAGCTGGAGCTTGGTCTTGCACTTGATGCACTCCAACCGCAGGACAACCTTCTTGGTGGTCTTAGCCTTCTTGTGGAAGACAGGCTTGGTCTGACCACCATAACCGGACTGCTTTCGGTCGTAACGTCTCTTTCCCTGTGCGAACAGCGAGGCCTACATCAAACAATCATTTAGTGAACCGTCCGGATCGTGTATCGTGAGTACGTCACTAGGAGTCGGTCGTCGCGCGCGTGTCGTTAGACATACCTTGCCGGCCTTGTACTGGGTGACCTTGTGCTGGGTGTGCTTGCGGCACTCCTTGCCCTTGCAGTAGGTCATACGCGTCTTGGGAATGTTCACTGCGCCCAGAGTCAGCCTCCAACATCCATCGTCAGGACCGCAAGTCCATCTCGCGAAATTCATGTGCCATTGCCGCAGCCGGATCGATCCCTTTCAAGCCTACATCCTCTCCGTCGAACGCTGTCGTGGTGTCGGATGTCGTTTTGTGTTCGTGTCGATATTCGTGCATCATTCCCCCCGTTCCCAATTGTTTTTGTCGATCGCAAATCGGCGGCAACGCAACGGTCGGCGAGGTCGGCAATCCTTCTCTTTCTTAAATCGAATCCGGCTGCTGGCAACAACGCCCAAATAGCATAACAATTCATTCCAATAAAGACTTACCCATCTTGGCGGCTGTTTGTCGATTTCGCTTGCCGGAGTGTCGTGACGATGAAATTGTCGGGGCCGGCGGGGGGAAGTGAAATTCAGTCGTTTTGCTGAAAATGTCGCTTGTGTGCGGGTAGGGCAGGTGCACGCTAAACAATTTCCGCTTGCAAGACGGGTGTGGCTGAGGCGATGTTCAGCCTCGATTCCATGCGATCGGGCTATCGCACGTGACTTAGGTCGAATCATGAGGCTGGAGCTGCTCTCGGCTGGCCCCAGCTGGCTGGCCTCAACGGGAACTTGTTCAGATTCCTGGCCCACAACTTCCTCTCTCCATGTAAGGTACTTACCTATGCCGGGCCTTTCATTGACGGACAGAAGTCCTGCAGGTTGCAGCTACCAACTAAGGTTCACCAAACCTTCGATTGACCTGGCTAGAACAAGCCTTTCGTACCTGTCGAGCCTATTTACTTCACGAGGACGCGCCTGGCCGATGACTAAGAAGTTTCTACGTTGTTTCCCGTCTGGATCTCCCTGGCTATTGGCGCTTGACACTTCCGTCTTCGCTCCTCGCGTTTCCCCCATAACCTTGTGGTGAAAAATCGACGAACCGTCCAAACACCGAAACACACGCCGTTCAGATCTAGGGCGAGCGTCGTGATCTTGGTCAATCCATCGCGCGTCAGGATAGTGTTTCCATGATAGACACGCAATCCTCTGTTTCGATCTCGCCCTATCTGGAAAGTCCCAACTCACTTTGCGACCCGGACGAGTCATGGCCGGCGAGGACAGACAATCAGACCTTCAACAGACTCACGAAGACCAGCGCCGGGACCTGGCCTATGCCCTCTTCCCTTCTTCGACTCGACAACCTTCCCGCCTTCTTCCCCTCCAACCTGAACTTCCTCACAACTCTCGCCCGTCCGCCCTCCCGAGGCTTTCTAACAATTTCAGCTGACAGACGATGTCATCGCACCATCGCAGATATACCCCCGCTGTCACTGGCACCCGCGGCCGGAACTGACGTCACTAATAACCCAGCCTTTATTTTCCATTAATCCCAGCTTGGACCTTGCAAGGCGTTCTATTCGAAGCTCAAAGGGAGGCAGTTTCGGAAAAACTCTACCATCAATCAGTGACGCGATGCCTCTATTATACGGCTCCCATAGGCCCAGGTGTCACTTGCCTAGCATGACGCATATTGAACACTATCCACGAGGCTCGGGAATTATCATTGTGGTTTAATCCAAACCAAACTGGTATGCCTATTCAGGCTTCCTGGTCCACGCGAAAGAAGGTGAGTTTAATTGCTTCACGACGAACACTTGACCTGGGAGAGCTCGGTCGAAACCTATGATGGCATCCCGTTGATGATGGCGGGCCCCTAGTCTCGATGACTAGCCCGAATTGGATGCTAGAAGCCCGTCCGTCACCCTTCACGGCCTCCAAGTTTAAAGAACATCAATCAATTTGACGGGCGGCAGGGCGACAAATTGACGGCTTGGGCACACTATGGCCAACCTACTGTCCTTGAGTACTTCTAAATCTGTTGTCGACTGCTCAAGCCGTGGTTCTCATGCCATTACTTGGGGCAAATATGATGGCTCAGATTGTTATTGATCATCAGCTGCTGCAGGGGCGATTCTTTGTCAGTGCTTTCAATCCTCGCCAACGAGGAACGCATAGACCTCGAGATGGTAATACTACTCTAGCAAATAGAAGCACAGGGTCCAGCGGAAGCCAAGACAGCTGAACAGCCGGAGTGCATACGGATGAAACTTCCACGGGAATGAAGTAGAGAGCCTCTTGGTGTTCTCACCGTATAGTTCAGGATCGGATTGCGGGCCAACAGGTCACGCATTCCCACCACCTTACAACAATGGTGACCGGACGAAATAAGATCGAATTGAAGCGAGACCCGACTGAAAGGGCGTAGGCGTCCGCCTTGCCTGAGCCCGAAGCTAATTGTGCCGGTATATACACTTTGAGTGGGCGAGACTACGTTCGGCTCACCGTCAGATGGCTTTCCGGTGGCGTTCATTACGACGACGACGTACCAGAGAACGAAGATGGGATTCTTAGGATTTGGACCATACGAGACCACACCGATACAACTACGGACCATGGCCTTCCTGATTCGGTCTGCCAGAAATACAACGCCAACAAAACAAGAGCCGCAACAGGAACTGGACGATTTGAAGGGTTGTGGCGCCCCAAAACAGCCCACTCCATCCGCGGACGGCAAAATTGTAGTGCTACAGAGCGGATGGAATGGAACGAACAGGGCTGGAGCGACGAACCACGCCGTCCCAACGCCGGTTTTCCGCAACCCCAGAAGAAGCCCAGTGCCGGTCTTTTTTTCTTGGAGTTTTCCCCCCAATTCGCTTGCCCTCCGTCTTTAACTTGACAAATTGCACCACCAAACTCGCAACGTGGGTTGAGCTTGGCATGAAACGTCGCCCAACGCCGCAACGTCGACGGTTTCAGATGCAGCAGCTCCCGTGCGCTCCAACCACGTTCCTTGCATGTCCACACCTTAATCGACGCCCCGATTCACGTCCCGGTTGCTTTCTTTAGCAACAAGCTACAGCCACCCTCCCTGTTCTTGGGTGCCGTGTCGCGAGCAGAGTGGGAGAGGAACCAAGTTAACCAACGGTAGTTCTTGGTCCTATACCAGATGGATCTACGCATAAGCCAGGTTTGCCAGGGCCCCACAAGGGACGCGCAACCCCTTCTCACACTCTCGAGTCTCTCTTCCTCCTTACTCTACCATCGAGGCGCTGATCCCATACGCTCTGATACAGCTCCGCGAAGGCTGTCTTGCCTGTGCTGCAGATTCGTCCGTCCAGCTGGCGTCCCGGCTGTGGCGGGTATCCGAAGGATCATCACCAAGGTCCTTATTTTTCGGATATCGGAACGCGATGGGTCTGGAATACCACCAAGCTCTCGTATGGTCTCAGTAAGGCCGGTATGGGCGATGAGGTTGGGTCCAACTCCTGAATACGGGACCTGCCAAGCTCATTCAATCCAAACGATACGATGATGGGCTTGGAAGCTGGGGAAGGGATGGAAGAAGCACTTCTTCCGCAACAACTTGAGGCTCATTGGCCCCTTGTCCCCGGCTTGGCGGCTCAAGGCAAACCCTTGCTCGCTCCCCGCGACGTTGGGAGCTGAGACAGTCTGGCGTGGGAATGGTGGACAGTCAAGTCAGAGCCAAAGAGGCAAGGAGGCTCGGCAGTCCCCGAACCCTGGACATCCCAACTCAGGCCGACTGCTTGCCTCTCTCTCCGCAGATCAGCCCGGTCAACCACCCCCCCGCTGCCGACTTGTCGGTCCCATCTGCTCGCTCTGTTGCATGATATGTGAGTTTTTGTGTCTTCTATACGTCCAACACTCTGTGCAGGGAGTTGGCTTGTTTGAAAAGTAAGGTCTGAGCCGGTGTCTGGACATGGAAGCAAAAACGTCACTCGCACAATTTTGTTCCCTTCTTTATAGTATTAACCTTCGCTACTCCCCTTCCCTCGCACTCCTTCTTGCATTCGATCTTTTTTTTTCTGCTAGGCCAAGTTTCCATCACCAGATGTTTTTGTGATACCCAATTACCCAACTACTCACTCCGGCAATCATGGAGCGAGCACACTCTCTACTCACCAGCACGACACGATCCATCAGCAGCAGCCGGTCCAGCACCCGTTCATCCCGCTCAAACTCATTATTTCAGTCAACCCCAGGACAGGAGAAGGGGGAGTTCTTTCTCCCCGCGCCAGCCACTACGATCCCACAACCGAAACTCCGGGTGCGTGCGATACTAGGCCATTGCCTGTATCGCAGGGTTGTGATATGGACGGTGACAATTTCTATGCTGATCGCGCTCGCGTACCTGAATACGCCACTATACACCCGAGATGGAAAGATTCTAGGAGATGATTACAGAATAGGTGGAATGGGCGGTGACCCAAAGAAGCAGGGAAGGCCGGCGCCACCAGAGGAAGATCTTATTATCGACAGTGACATGCCGCCATGGCTCAAGTTCAAGCAGTGAGTGCCATGTCGATTTCTAAGAGTTGTGAGCAACCCGCTAATGCTATAAAGTCTCAATGGCTACTTCAATGGTCTGAAGTCCATCGTTCCCATTGCCAATCACACACCTGAATATCCCAACAACTCTTTTCCGGCACCCGTCACCACCGTGCCGATTTACCATGATACCCCTCCTACTCCCACCCCTTACGCAGCTCACCCAAACTACGCGTCTACTGAGTATCAGAAAGATTACCACCCTGTCAAGGAATGTTTTGTCGATGAGGAAGACAAGATCGCAGTCCCCGACATTTGGGCATTTGATGGTGTCCCCCAAAACCAGCCCGATCCGGCCATCGGCTCCCACACCGTGCTCGGCCTACGCAATGACGTTTGTTTCGATCGATTCGGCCGCTACGGCCCCTACGGACTTGGTTACGACATTCGCGAGGGAGGCACTTCTCAAGGTCAAGATACGGAACAAGAGGGAGCTGACATTGTTTGGACCAAGACTGGCAAGATCGATTACAGCCGTGTTGACTGGGGTGTCGCGCAAGATCGATGTATCGAACGCAACAGCGCCCGCTTCAACAATGGCACCAAGCAGAGCACGTACGACTCGATTTACAGTGAGCCCGAAACAAACGAGACCGGAGTCAAGCAGATTGATCGAATTGCCGTTGTCGTCCGCACCTACGTAGGATTCGAGTGGACACAGCTCGCCATTGTCAACTTCCGCGCGATGATCTCCGAGCTCTCCCTCAAGTCTGGTGGCGAGTACAGCGTTCATTTTCTTCTCCATGTGAAGGACAACGAGGCTGCCATCTGGTCGGACCCCTCAGTAGTGCAGAGTATCCTCGATGCCAACGTTCCCACCGAATTCCACTCGCTCTGTACTCTATGGTCGGAGGCCGAGATGAAGCTTTATTACCCGGGTCACTTCGCCGACGCCATTGAGAATCCCTCAAATGGAGACATTCACGGAGTTTACCGCAGCGCCCAGATGCCCCTCCAGGTCTTCGCCCTTCAGCACCCGGAATATGCCCACTTCTGGAACTGGGAGATGGATATGCGCTACATTGGCTCATACTACGAATTGCTCGACCGCCTGGGATCCTGGGCTAAGCAACAGACTCGCACCCTTCTCTGGGAGCGATCATCCAAGTACTACATCCCCGCCGAGCACGGTTCATGGAACGAATTCGCCAGTGTCGTCGAGAGAGAGCTCAACGCATCTGGCCGCCGCGCCATCCTGGGCCCCCAAATTTTCCCCGGTCGCATGTCGCTGAAGAGTGAGGAGGCTGGCCATTCCATTCTGCCCGCTTCCTGCGCCCGCGGTGGCAACCCCGACGAGTGTGGTGTTGGTGAGGAAGCCGACCTCATCACATTGAATCCCCTCTTCGACGCCGACGAATCCGGCTGGGTTTTCGCCAAGGATGTCACTGGCTACGAAATGGTCTTTGCTCCGCCACCACGCCGATGCTCCATTGTCACAGCTTCACGACTATCTCGCCGACTCTTGGCCGCCATGCATGAGGAGATGTGGCGTCTGCACCACAGCATGTTCTCGGAAATGTTCCCCGCCAGCATGGCTCTCCACCACGGCTTCAAGGCGGCTTACGCACCTCACCCAGTATTTCTGGATAGAGCATGGTACCCCTTTAACACCATCGAGAAGGCCTTCAACGGCGGCCGCGATGGCACTACAGGAGGTCACGGCAGCCCCTTTGACCTCAAGAACGAGCACAACCACAAGGGTACCAGCTGGTACTACAACTCAGAGTTTGCCGGACTCCTCTGGCGCCGATGGCTCGGTTACCCCCAGATGGACGGCCGTGGCGGTAACGGCGGCCGTGCCGGCGAGGGCACATTACGCGGAGGCCAAGATGAAGAGTCTCACAAGGACAGCTCTGGTCGCTTGTGCATGCGCAGCATGCTGCTGCACCCGATCAAGTGGGAGAACCCGATTGAGCGAAATTAAAGCGCGCCTTGGAATTTTTGATATTGTTATCAGGCATTGAACTGTCGATGAAAGTTTTGCCGTCATCGAGATGACAAGCGGAAAGCGTATTGCAATGCCGTAAGGTTCTCTTTGGCCCTGGCTTGCAAAAGTTTGTTTCTTCATGTTGTTACACTCACCCCTTTTCTTTTGCATTTACAAACAACCTGGCTACATAGAGTGTACATATCGAGAGAGACTACGACGACACAGTACGGATTGGGAGGTTATACCAGCCGGGGGATTTTACGGTTCACAACCCACACAAAGCGTTTGATTCTTCTTTGCAAGATGAGAAACAGGATCGTCATTCCGCGGGAGAGAAACAACACACTACGCAAAAAGAGCGATGGCAAAGGTTTCGTGGACGAAAGTGTCGAACGAACAAAAACATCTTTTTTGTATATAGAGCGCAAAATCATCGCTCTTTTTCAACATTTTCAGAGCAGTGTTCTAAACAAGGACTCACACATTCACCTACTCAAACTCTTGAGGATGGCGAGATATTGCGACGGCGTCTGGGGTAAATTGGATGAGCTTGGGGCCAGGGATCTAGGTTTTGGTGTTATATGGGCAGATAGCGAATGTGTCAGTCAGCGACTGAGTGGCAAAAAGAAACACTTTATTCCACACAAAACTCAAGAACCACCCACTCGATGTGCTTTGAACCGCCTCATTAAGAACAGCTATATAGCCGAGAAACGTCGATATTCATCAGCATGAGATTCATAGCGTAGCATGAGTGAGGCTCCCCATGGAGTTGACTAATTAGTTCGACGAGGCGTTCGTCGCAAAGGCGGAAAAGGACAAAATGGCCTGGTTCGTGAGCCTCGCATTTCGAGCAAAAAGGAAGAGGGAACTCGATTTTGCCCCGGATTCACAGTGCATGCCATGACTCTCCCGACCCCTCCATCTTCTGCGCGTAACTCCTCCGATCACCTCGCACTTCCGCCCGTTCTCCAGGTCTAGAACGCCACCTATCCGTGTTGTGGGTAGGACCGACCCCGGCGAGGCCCCCTCTGTCACATGGCAGAAACTAGGTATTGCCCGTGGAGAAAGAACGACGAAAGACGGCTCGCCGTTGTGTTCCATAGAAACGCCCCGAAATACGGACTGCAGTCACTGGTGGTTTATTCATACCGGTGACTGGAACTGGTATACGAGCTCTAGATGGCAGCTTTTTGCCGGTGGGAGTATGTAGCCTTTGGTATTAAGTTGGGGGCCGCAGCGGCCGCGCGCGCGGCTCTGGGGCGGGAGGTGGAGGTGGAGTTGAAGTGGGAGTGGGAGGAGAGGAGGGAGGGCCAGAGAAAACCAGGCACTCGACTCAGGTCCAGGGCAAGGTGAGGTCTAAGAAAGTATATCGAAGCATCCTTGGAGGAATGGGTGCAGAACGGCCATACCTTGTCACATACCGGCCCGATGGGGGGGACCAGCGAGAGGGAGTCCGCGCGAAGCGGGAAAACCGGGTGATAGTATAGCATTGAAGACGCGGCCTCCACCTCTTCCTCTCTCTCCACTCCTTCTCTTCGTCTACGGTCTTGGATGAGACCGGGGAAGAATAAAGATCCAAGGTCGGTGTCTCCGGATGAACCGAACGTCGGTTGTTTCTGTTCTCGCTTTCGGGCTGAGGTAAGCGGGCTCGACGCATGGGCTCATATTGGATCTCTTGGCGAAAGCCCCTCTGTGGTAGGTGTTCCAGAGAGATGAAGCGTGAAGGAAAAGCCGCGGCTTTCGGGGCTATTCTCCTCGGTGGTATTAGGTGGTGCGATAGTGTGGTATACGTCTAATTGTAAACACGAGGTGGGGAATCGCTGCGGTCTACCTGGTGCTGTACCTGAGGGTACCTAGATCCTCGGACTATTGGTGGCCTTGGAAAAAATGTCAGATATACCGGATATCTTATTTCGTCCAAACATGGCGCGAGTCTATTTTCGAGTGCTTTCTACTCGCCACCAAAGTTGGCCATCGGTACGGATAGATGAGCTCCTCTCGCCAAGCCAGGAACATATCGAAATTGGTGAGATAACGGGATTGAGTTCTAGACTAATTCGCAGCCACGCGGGTACATTTTATCGCATCGGTGTATCTGGGACCTCGGCAGATGGTGGTGTAGATGAAAGATGGAAAGTCTGAATCTCACTGAGCACACTTCGGGTCAAATGGGATGCGAGTGGAGAAAGTCGACCTGAACGTCAATGAAGCCAATAGGGCGGACCCGGCGGAATGGTAGGTCTTGCGCGGCATGTTTACGGAGACTAGGACTGCGATAGCTGAAGGTTATTTGATTATGAACGCGCCATCTGGCATCAATCGCCAAAGACATGGTGTAACATGGCTTGGTCCGGAA